GACTGATCGAATGGAAGCTGGCGTTTTTTTATGGTTTGAATATGGCAGCTTTTTGAAATACAGTCGAATTTCGATATAACGAATCGTTCGAGACCGGAAACTTCGATATAACAAACCTAAAATGTGCCTCAAATTCGTAGCTGCCCTGCACGGCCACTGATTGTATTTGGCTGGGGCAGCTACGCAGAAATTTTGAGCACTTTTTAGATCACCAGTCTCTTCATTCATCTTACAATTTCAAAATCGTTGTATCGAAGTTCGTTGTATCGAAGTTCGACAGTAGATGCCTTTTAGAAAACGAAATGCCAGTCAAACACGATAAGAAGCCAAAATTTTGCTTTTGATTGCCTTGGCGACCTTTTAAGAACTTTTCTTTCAGCTTTAAACCCATTTATACCTACCGTAAATACTGTAATAGTATCCCAACCCCTCGTACAGTCGCGTAGTCGCAAAAGTTTTTTAGTATTTCATTTTTTTCAAAGCGCCCGTACTTCCAAAAAGTGCGTCTTTGGTATCAAAAAATAGCTGAAATTCAGGGCTATTTTTTGGTACCTAAGCGCGCATTCTAGCTTAAACCAGTGTCGAGAAAAACTCGTTCAAAGCTAGACGCAAAACCCCGCCCCGTCATTATGGGGGTGGGGTACTATTACAGTATTTACGGTAGGCTGCGGCCAAAAAGAAAATGAACCATGAGGACCATTTGAGGCAGTTTTCAAAATGATTTTATGAAAAATGTTTGAATTTGTCAATTCTGGCCTGTTTTGACTCACAGAATTTAGATTTAATAAAACTCGTACAGACGGACAAACAGACAAACAGACAAACAGATAAACAGACAAACAGACAAACAGACACTCTTTTGTTTACAGACACTCACCCCACCCGGGTGGGGTACTATTACAGTATTTACGGTAGTTAGAACAGCGCGAACGAATCAGCACCGATAATTTCAGCGCCAACGCAATCCTTTTCTGTATACACGTGGTTTTGGTGGTTTCAGTGGTCTTTTTATGATTTCAGTTTCATATTTATTTGTATTTCAGCAATAATAACAATAAAAATCAACAAAACAACGACAATTACTTAAAATGAAAAAAAGCAGAAAAAGCTTTTAGATGCTCAATGGGTGATTTTACTATTGGGTTGATGCATAATTATCCGGACTTCTTTTTGCGTGCTTGTATCTTTTTTGTTTTGAAAGCTTTTTGTCTATTTCTTTTTTTTAAATATTCGTTATTCTTTAGTGAACAAAATGCGTGTCGACAATCATATCCATCTTCGCCATATCATGCTCTACCACTTCGAAAAGGGATGGTCTGCCGCAGAGTCGTTTCGCGATCTCAAAGAACTTTTTGGTCAAGGAACAATTGGACGTGCAACAGTTTATGAATGGTTCGATCGTTTCAAGTCCGGTAACACAAGTGTTGATGATGAACCAGGAAGAGGACGGCCATCAGAATTCGATGACAAGGCACTTCTGGAAGCCGTTGAAGAAGACGAAAGCCTGACAACCGCTCGTGGAATCGATCGTCTTCCAAGCAAATGGCAATCAGTTATTGATGTAGGCGGTGAATATGCTCCAGAATAATCAATTAAACATATTTTTCTAACTATTTATGTTATTTTTGTTAAATAAAATCATTTATAAAAGAAGTCCGGATAATTATGCATCAACCCAATAGTATACCATTTTTAAGCGCGAAAAAACAAAGCGAGAATTAAGGATACTAAAACCTACGAGCGCTGAAATGAAATGAAATGAAAATCAAGCCTTTTTTGCGCGGCGCTGAAATAATCGGCGCTGATTCGTTGGTGTTGAAATGAACGGCGTTGATTCGTTCGCGCTTTTCTAACTAGACCTTACTAACTAGTCCCCTTTAAATTCCTTGGAAACTTTTTTTAAGGCCAATAAATAATTTTGATGACTAAAGTATCACTGAAAAGTACCAAATTCGGTGTTATAGCAGTTGGGTGGGGGGCAGTTTGTTTTTCAGTAAACAGGGCAGTAAACACCAGTTTTTTCGAACTTGTCACTAGTTTTTAAAACTTTTTCTGGTGTAATTAATTGCACTGAATCCATTGAAAGCATTTATAAACCATTCTGAACAACTTGAAAGCATTTATAAACCATTTTATACTAGTTTGAGCAACAATTCTGAGCCTTTAAGAGTGACTCTATTTCCAATGGGTTTAGAGGTGCGCGACCGCCATAAGAGGCCCTCAGTAACTGCTTGAAATAGCTATTGAAATATAAAACAGTCACTAAAGCTTAAATAAGTACCAAATTAAGAATCTACACCATTGAAAACCATAGAAGCGCTTTGGCTCATGAATGTGCACTGCAGTGTACACATGAATGTACACTGCCCCTTCCCAACTACTACACTGCCCCTCCCCAACTACTATAACACCGCAAACTCAACCGTTTGCCGTAAAATTGATCAATTTTAGCAGGACGCGGCTCCGTGATCTACCGGGCTGAGTATGAGCGCGAATACAGCAGACGCAGTTTGTAAGAAAAGAAATTTTGAGACTCAAGCACAGAACTTGAACTTTCTGGCTCAGTGACAGCTTTATAATTTGAGATACAGTTACAGGAATCACTGCTCAAACCATGGGAAATACATTTTTCGAACGAGTGGATGTAAATGTGATGAAGGATGGACTGGGGACATCTGTAGCCTGCAACTTTCCGAAAGTGGGTTCAAGAAGACTGATCCTGTAAATATTGTAAGGGTACTGTAGGGTATCCAAGGTCTATAAAGGCACTGGATTATCGGACTAAAGGTTCTGGACAATACTGGACGATTAACACATTCACGACGACGGTTTTTTAGTCGTACAGTCACGTAGTCGTTACTGTTTTACTGACAATTCGGTGAATATTCAAAGATGAACTAAACTATTGTATCCATTCGATAGCCCTGAATCTCCTCTTGAAAATTAGTACGAAGTTATCGAGAAGTTTCTATATATATATAAGCGGCGGTGCGTATATAAGCGGCGGTGCGTATATAAGCGGCGGTGCGTATATAAGCGGCGGTGCGTATATAAGCGGCGGTGCGTATATAAGCGGCGGTGCGTATATAAGCGGCGGTGCGTATATAAGCGGCGGTGCGTATATAAGCGGCGGTGCGTATATAAGCGGCGGTGCGTATATAAGCGGCGGTGCGTATATAAGCGGCGGTGCGTATATAAGCGGCGGTGCGTATATAAGCGGCGGTGCGTATATAAGCGGCGGTGCGTATATAAGGCGGTGCGTATATAAGGCGGTGCGTATATAAGGCGGTGCGTAAGCTTTCGTTGGCGCCACCTAACAAGGGAAGTCCTTTAGGTCGGCATCTGGGATTGAGTTGAGACCGAATGGTTCTTATAGAATCGACCATGCTGACCACGAATATCTGTATAACTTTTGCCCTCGTTCGTCCAAACGCAAGATATTTGGCACGAAAGTTTTAGCACTTACCTTTATGAAGTCCCTCACGCGTTGGGAGATAGTACGGCCGTGATCTAGTGGATAAACTTCTTGTGCCAGGCGAGACGCTTGATTGTTTTGCAGCTGGTTCGAATCCTTTTGCTGCAAAGCTTTTTCCTTTTTTGCTATTTTTACTTTAAGCCCCTAATAGTAAAACAAAATTACCTTCGGAAAATAAAAAAAAACACAAACATTTCTATTTGAAGAAGAAACCGTAAAACCGGGTTTAGATCATGGCCAGGTCATAGGCTAGAGCTCCATAGCTCCATGAATAGCTCCAATCGATTCTCCGACCGCGAAAACCCCCGGGTACAAATTTACAGCTGAATATTTTCTTTTTATGTCATAAACAAAAGAGAAATCCTGACTGGCGAAGTGTTCTTTGTGCGGCCCGGTAATCCCTCTCCATCTGACAAACCGCTCCAGTATAGAAGGTTTCTCTTCTCTTTTCTTTTCTCTTTTCGGTAAATGGAAAAGAGCGGGTAGCGACTGAGCCAGTTTTCTCCCTTTTTGACCGTCACTATGCCCAAATCCTTGGGATCAATTCTTGCCCTATACTTGACTTTATTTTTGCTACAAAGCATCGTGTCGTGTTCAGCATCCTGTCAAGCGATTGCATTACTTAAACAGCAGCAAAACTGGCATAACAATGCGATCTAACTTAGAGTTTTGCTAGTTTTGCTAGTTTTGCTTCTGTTTTTCGCAGGATTCACTAGACCAATCAACCTCAATCAAAATCAACCTAGACGTATCAGAAAATTATGAAGACGACACAAAAGACTTCAAAAGACGACACATTTTCGAAAACATTTTCCTTGAGCTCTCTTCAGCAATCATATTCCAGTGAAAATCGTCTATTGCCAAGAAGACAGGGATTGCTTTATCAATTATCGATGCAAACGGGTAACAAATCTATATGTAATTTGTAAATCTATATGCAATTTTTTTCATTCAGCTCCCGAAAATGCCACTGCATTGTGTGGAGAATACGGATAACTATAAAAGTTGGGAAGTTTGAGTTTGAGTTTGAGTTTTAGATTGAGTTTCAGTTTCAGTTTCAATTTGAGAGAATATTATTGTTTCAGAGAAAGTTTCAAATAAACCTTTTCATAGAAATTTATTTACAAGACATTTGGAAGACAAATTACAGTGTATTTTCATTTATATTATATTTCAATTTTTTCGAAAACGGCTGAGAAACGATTCGGACGATGACCAACTAAAATGTTAAATTTAGTGACTCCACTAAGACTAGACGCGTGTCCAACAAAGAGTTGGACACGCGAACTTTTTGGGTTGAGAAGACAAAACATTGTCAGCCTCGGGATTCGAACCCACGACCTTTTCCTTACCGGGCGAACGCTCTACCAATCAGCTGAATCGACAGGGATTTGCGACAGGGATCGGCTGTCAGGAGTGAGCCTTGTACCTTACTAAAACACTGACCTGATAACAAGCTAGCGATTCCTTTTGGTGGATTTGTTTCAGACGGAGTGATGTTATAGCGAGTGAGAATGTTGCCGAGAATCTGAATAGAAAATCAGTCCCTATATAAAGCTACTTCCACCATCCTGGAATGTGAGCTTGTGGTATAATGGATAAGATTCTTGTTTCCGAAACAAGCTATCAACTTTCTGCTCGGGTTTGATTCCTTCCTTTTGTTTTTATCTTATTTTCAGAAAGTCTTTTCAGTTTCTTTTCAGACTTTCATTGAAAAATAACAAATTCACCAATTAACCTATGGTTTGCTCTAAGTAAAAAGTGTTCCCGAACAATTTTCCGGACTTCATTTCTTTTTCTGAGTCTCCTAGCTCTCCAGATCTCAGCCCGATGGATTTTTCAGTGTGTTCTAGAAGCCAAAATTTTTTCAAAGTCCCAAAACATCGATCATCGAATTGCACAAGCGAATCTCGGCGCCAGAAATTCATAAGCGTCTTAAAGTCGACAGAAGTGTCATTCTCCACACTATTCAAAGCTACGATGCTACGGGAACAATTGCTGATGCACCAAGAAGTGGTAGATTTGATTAGTTAGTGTTTTAAATAAGAAAAATCTTTTATGATTGAAGTTGAGTATGAAAAACGCAGTTATTTTCCGTAGTACCTAAACCATTTTTCAACTTTTTTCACCAACCAAATAAATCTCAGCCTTTGCGAGACTTTCCCCTGGACAACTTCGTTTCCCGATCCCAAATGGTATTGTTTTCTCGAACAATGATTTTCCATTTTCATTCAGGTAACGTGACGGGTCAAACTGGAAATGTAGGAATGCAAGAAATTTGGGCTCTTGCGTAGTTTCCGGGTATTTTGAAAGAGTTCGAGTATTCTGGAAAAATCTGGATATTTTGAACGGATCGTCACGCTTTGAAGGCCTATAAATTTGTCCAGAGATAATATTTTTGTTAACTTTTTATATCATTGTATAGAGAAGATTTTGGGCTTTCAAATGATACCAAATAGATCTTAATCGGGTTTTTTCATTCCCATGCAAACAAGGCGACACGACACCCGAGTTGGATAGGCCTCACTTGCTCAGAGTTGGCTCTGATTTTTTGGACTGGATTATTCCAATCAAGCTCTATTTGGTATCATTTGAAAGCCTGAAATGTCCTCTTTACGATGATATAAAAAGCTAACAAAAATATGCTCTCTAGACAAAGTTATATGCCTTCAAAGTTGGCGACCCATTGAAAAGACCCGGATTTTTCAAAAGCCCCGGATTCTTTCAAAATACCCGAAAACTACGGAAGAGTCAAGTTTTGTAGAAGTGTATAAGTTACTACATAGCTTTCGTCTTGGACTTGGAATAAGCTCCCGTCTTGGACTTGGAATAAGCTCCCGTCTTGGACTTGGAATAAGCTCCCGTCTTGGACTTGGAATAAGCTCCCGTCTTGGACTTGGAATAAGCTCCCGTCTTGGACTTGGAATAAGCTCCCGTCTTGGACTTGGAATAAGCTCCCGTCTTGGACTTGGAATAAGCTCCCGAAACACCAACCTCTTGAGTTTGCTTGAAAGTCTCTGGATCACTGAGAATCAGAGAAATTTGAGCTGTAGTCAGTGTTCCTATAGGGAGATCGTAACTGAAAAAGTTTCCATTCTAATAAAGAACGAGTTTTTACCCATCGATCGAACTTGGCCCGTTTGTTGTCCTCCACAAGTTAAAGTTAAGAATTGAGGCATGGCGTTGGACTTCCTGAAACAGTCTTAATCAATTTAAGATATTTAGAAAAGTTTAGGATAAGATTACGTTGATTGATGGTTGATTAACGTACCGTGCAAGTTGCTACAAAGTACGGAGTGGTTTGGCGATCGTTTAGGGAAAGATTTCGATTGCCACTAGTTTCTCGGAGGATCTAAAACCGCAAAAACTAATCCATTTGTTGTTTATTTATCAAAAATCACCTCTTCTTTACATTTTTTCATTACAGTAGGATGTCGCAAGAGTAAATGTAAAGCCCATTGTAGAGTGACCGATGTTGTTTCTTGACCAGCTAGCCACAGGTCATGGAGATCCACCAAAAGGCCTTGAGCACTAAAGTGAAGTAAAATTGATACTAGTAGACTGAATTTCTTTAAGAAATCATATTTCGCAAAAGCAGTTCAAAGCACAAACGTCATCTCTCCCAAATCCGTTCCTCGTTTCTTCTGCTCAATCAAATAGGCATCAATGAAGTCTTCCGGCTCTTCCCCAAGAACGTATTCTCCTGTTTTGAGTTCTTCTTTCCTGAAAAGTGCACTTGAGTACCTTCAAAAGCCAATACAAAAGAATAGTCATAAATAAGAAAAAGAAAAAGATAAAACAATAAAACTGTCAAAAAAAGAATCCTCAATCCTTTTTCAAAAAGAATCCTTTTTGGACACCCTGTACTAGGCATTTTTTGGTTAACTTGATCGACACTCACCTTCGTTTAATGTTTTCCCGTACGTATTCAATGATTGGATCAATTGCTTCATGAATCGTATTCAAACGCCTGAAATCAAACATTCTTTTCAAAGCTACAGAACAACCAGCTGAGAAGGGGAACGTATTTCCACCAGTCTCTAATCATGAAATCCAACGGGGTCGTGTTGTTGATCATTCGTTCCATACGGGTTTTGATCTTGAAGAAGTACTCACGACGGGGCTGAAAAGCTTGGGTCTGCTGCTTTGTTTTGGTTTGCTTTTCTTTGGTCTGCTTAGCTGCTTTGGTCTTTTAAAAAACATTGTCAGCCCTGGTTTTCCTAATGACAAACAGGATCAAATCTGTATCCAAAGAGAAGTCGGTTGATCACCGATCCAACGATCAAATCCGTCAACTTTGCCACCAGGATCTCCGCTTTCCCGTCAACCATTCGTTGATCGAGTTCGTTTAGTTGATAATCGAGTTCTAAAATATGATAGCTCAGTGGAAGTGAGCTGGCAGAATCAAAAGCAGATTCAATTTCCCCAATTCCTATTTATTGCTATTCTTGTACTTTTCATAAGCTTATAGTTACAGTAGACAGCGCCATTCCAAACAGCGCCATTCCAAACAGCGCCATTCCAAACAGCGCTATTCCAGACAGCGCCATTACAGACAGCGCCATTCCAAACAGCGTCATTCCAAACAGCGCCATTCCAAACAGCGCCATTCCAGACAGCGCCATTCCAAACAGCGCTATTCCAAACAGCGCTATTCCAGATGGCCTTAAGTAGGCTTCCAGAAGGCCAAAACCTTAAGTAGGCTAGCTTGGTCAAGCTTTGGCGAAATTAACCAAAACTTTGAAGGCTTATATCTCAAAAACGGCTTGATAAGTAGGATTTGAAAGCAGTTTTGGGATGCTTAACCAGGCTGCGTTTGCACCTCGGAATCAGCTCACTCCTGAAATGTAACTTCAAGGCGTTCCCTTGTTAGGAAAACCCTCAAAAATTTTGCTAAATTTCGCAGTTTATGAACCCAGGCCCTGGCCTGGCTCTGCTCTACTCTCGCTGCCTTACAGCATATCTTTTTGAAGCCTAGCAAGCCTCTGTAGACCCATTACCCAAGTAGTCACTATGCTAGATGAAATGTGTTTACAGAATTGCGCTCAAACGCAACAAACCTTTATTTTGGTACAACAAACCTTCAATAATTCTCCCCTCCATCAAATTTCGTCCCATTCCGAAATTTCGTAACGTATGCAAAGCGAAACGTCTAAAATTATTCGCCTTTACAATATCCTTAAAAAAGAGAAACCTATGCTCGAGCCAAGTCTCATCAGTGCTCGAGATGATTCCCCAGGTTTTGCCGAACTCATCTAAAAGCTTTATTATTGGGTTGGTGAATTGAAAACTGCCGGGCTTTGAACCAAAATTTATCCAACATAAAACCATCAATTCATTCCAAATAATTTCCATTATTATTGACGACTTCTGCCCATTTTACAGGCAATTTGCGGATTCCTCTTTCGTAGTAGGATTTTGGTTTGTGTGTGAGACAAGTGTGAGACTCAAAAATGGAGGACTGGAGACTCAAAAATGGAGGAATGTCCCAGTTTGAGCACTTTCTTCAAAAGAAACCCATTTTGGTGTCAATAGAAAAGTTGTAGAGAATCAAAAATTAGGCTTATAGCCAAATTTCCAAAAAGATACACTTAGTAGTTTCGCTTAAAATGTAAGTTTTGTGAAAATTCGTAAATTTGTAAATGTAAATTTACATTTCTTGGCATTTCTTGAAAACCAGTTTTTGAATCGTTCTGAAAATTTGGATATAAGCTTAATTTTTGATTCTCTACAACTTTTCCATTGACACCAAAATGGGTTTCTTTTGAAGAAAGTGCTCAAACTGTCACATATGACAATAGCCGGCAGTTTTCAATTCACCAACCCAATAGATCAAAATTTAGATAGTTTTTGATGAATTTGTTAGTAATTATTTGTTTGTTAGTAAATTCGTTACTGATTAGTATCAAAATCAACTTCTTTTATCATCAAAATTTTACCAGTTTGATTTAATCGAATGAACGGAGCGGTGAAACGACCGAGCTGCGTGTGACCCTGAAAGTTTCTGGAAGTTTCTGTGTGTCCTTTGTGTTCAAATCTTTAAACGCACCCCTTCTGGAGCACTTGATTTCGTATTTTTCTTTTCAGTGCACCAGAAAGAAGGCGTTTATGGGTGGCTACAAAGTACGGCTATGTACCTGATTCACCATGAGCTCTTTAGCCTTTTCGAATGTGCACAAGTTGACGAAAGGCATTGGGCCAAGCCATAGGGTGTGTACCTAAATATCAATAAGCCAATTATAATCACGAAAACAATCATTATCCTCTTGGAAATAGATGCTTTTCACTAAAATCAGTGCATTGATGGATAGAAATAGCTAAATTGGCTTCCGTCCTTTTCTGTGATTATTCTACGCGTTACTTTGGTATTCTAATTGATAGAATCAATAAAATGAATAGCTCCAATCGATTCTCCGACCCCGAAAACCCCCGGGTACAAATCTACAGCTGAATATCTTCTTTTTATGCCACCAACAAAGCCAAAGAGAAATCCCTAGGTATATGATTGGCGAGGTGTTCTTTGTGAGTGCGCACGATCGCTCGCTTTCTGGCAAACCGCTTGAGTATAAGAAGCTTCCCTTTTGGAGCTCCTAAAGATAAAGGATCGGTGAGCGACTGAGCCAGTTTTCTCGGTTTTCGGCGTCACTATGCTCAAATTCCTGGTATCAATTTTTGCCTCAAATTTGGCTCTAATTTGCTACAACCAAATAGTCTCTAGCCAAATTCATCGAAGAGAAAATAAAATTTTTGACCGGATCCGGCCGGTCAAAAATTTTCTTTTCTCTTCGAACCGCTAGATGAAATCTTCAAAAGATTATCGGCCAACCATTGTTTAGGAAAAACAATGATTTGACGGGATACAGAATTTGTAGCAAAAATAAAGCCAAATTTAGGCAAAATTGATTCGAGACATTTGGGCATAGTGACGCCCAAAGCAGCGAAAATGGCTCCCAAGGGAAGTAGAGGTGGCCGTTTGGGATGATTGAAAGTTTTTTGGTCATCAATATTCATCATTCGATAGATCTCATGATGAATATTGATGATCAAAAAATTAGCTGGCCAAAACAGCTCTACAACGAGAAATGGGGCCGAGAAGGAGCAAAAATGACGTTTGACAAGGCTGGAACTTTTTACTGAATTGTAGATGGCACAAAGGGAAGATATAGCTGATTCGCAGTGGAAATGGATGAGTTGCAGTGGAAATGGATGAGTTGCAGTGGAAATGGATGAGTTGCAGGGGAAATGGATGAGTTGCAGTGGAAATGGCTGGGTTGCAGTGGAACCACATTTAATCAAAATAGGAACCGTATTGGAACCATATTTAATCGAAATAGCAACCGTTTTGGAACCGTATTGGAACCATTGAGTTGCAGTGGAAATGGCTGAGTTGCAGTGGAAATGGCTGATTCGCAGGGGAAATGGTTGATTCGCAGGGGAAATGGCTGACTGGCAGTGGAAATCGGGAGCTCCTTCTACTTTACGTCCTAAAAGGGAACACCTATCTATCTGGGACCTGTGCCAGATGGAGAGCGATTACGCGGGCACACAAAAAACACTTCGCCAGTCATTTAGGCATTTCTCTTTTACTTTGTTTCTGGCATAAAAAGAAGATATTCAGCTGTAAATTTGTACCCAGGGGTTTTCGGGATCGGGGAATCGATTAGAGTTAGTTGTTCATTTTATTGATGGGGTTTTTTTTTAAATCAGTGAAATCTTTTAAAGCCAACTCACATCTCCATAACTTTTTTGTATCTCACGTAGCGCTTTCGCAAAGCCACCTTTCCGCACACAATAGTAGAAAAGATGCGGAAAATTTCCAAAGAACAAAAATGGAATTGGACCTAAATTTGAATAAATTACAGTATTCTGTGAAAAACCAACCTGGCGGTAATTTCCGCATCAACTGATATTGAAATAAGGCATAAGTGGTCAAAATGACCACAATTAGTAGGAAAAACATTGTGAAAAAAGTATTTGTGAAAAAGAAACGGTCAAAGAATGAAAATGAAAACTTTTGGCTTAAAAAAGACCTTGAAATCTCTTCCCATTTTATATCTAGCACTTATCTTTTTTCAAGTATGTTTAGAGAAAAGGGGTAAAGACAAATCAGGCAATCAACAACCCCTTTTCCTGTGTTTTGCCTCCAAAGAAACACTGGAACTTGTGACTTATGACTAGCACAATTTAGAGTTTAGAAAATAGATCTTGGAAAGATTAGAAAATAGATTTATAAATATTAAAATTTGATAGCTTAATAGCTTTAAGTTTTACAAGTAATAGTAATACTTTCCTTGTAAGCATCGTGTCACTTTCCTTGTCAAAGTAAGCATCGTGTCACTTCCCTTGTCAAAGTAAGCATCGTGTCACTTCCCTTGTCCTAGTAAGCATCGTGTCACTTTCCTTGTCAATGTAAGCATCGTGTCACTTTCCTTTGTCATAGTAAGCATCGTGTCACTTTCCCTGTCATAGTAAGCATCATGTCGAACTCTGACGCATACTTTGTGCTTTCCCGGAAACGCATGATCTCCGACGTCCTCTAACACGCTCTAAACGGTTTAAAGCATGTCTAGTTTATCATAATCGTAGATGGTTTACAATAGACGTTACCATAACCCATCTACGTAGTCGTCAAGCGTGCATAAATACAATTAAGATAGATAATGAAGTGATGGTAGAGGCTTAGGTTACGGTAGGCTCAGGATTCGATTACGGTAGTCTTTAAGGACGACCCGCCGGCTCATTGTTGTAGAATATGTAGAAAATGTGACGGTTCTTCTGGGTTATACACCATAGAATCGAAAAATCAAGCTTCAGAACCTCCCTGACATCATGAATCGTGAATCGTATTGGCGATAAGTCGAACATCTCGATCGTTCTCGATCAGCTTCTCGTTCAGCTTCTTCTTGTAGTTAGTGCGTTTCTTTGTCCCACGCGGGGACCAAGCTTTCTAACTACGAAAAAGGCTAAAAATCGACACGCTCCATGGTCTGTGGAGAGCTCGATCACCAAGCAAATCACTCAGTCGCCAAGCAAATCACTCAATCGCCAAGCAAATCGCTCGATCGCCAAGCAAATCAAGAGAACACTTTCTGTCGTGAACAATTATTTGAAGGATCCCGGTCGTTTTTGGTCCTTTATGAGTTTTTTTTTTGTCTAAATCTGCAAAAATCTTAAGCAATTTGTTGAATCTAGGGTTTTTTTGATGCGTTCTTTTCAATAAAAAAAAAGAATTCAAGCAGTACCATGCTGCTAACTTAAGAAATTGCGATTTTCTTGGGTGAACGTATTGATGTGAAACGCACTGTACATCCACAGCGACTCCTTTTTGCCAATGGCAGACGGACAAACGCACAGACGGACAAACGGACAGACGGACAAACGCACAGACGGACAAACGGACAGATGTGTCGTCTTCTTTATATATAGTAGATAACAAAGTGTGCAAAGTAATAAGAAGCTTTGCTGCGTTTAGTGATTTTAGTGATCTTTTCTTGTTGGTTCAGGGATTTGAGAATATTTATCGACACAGAAATCTCTCCAATATCAAAGTGAAGAGATTTAAAGAAAACATCATGATCAATCGGGTAAAAGACCGCTCATTTAAACAATCTTAAACTACAACAGAACTATATATAAAAGAGTGTCTGTCCGTTCGTCTGTACGGGCTTTTTCTCATGGTAGTAGATATTTCTGTAGACAAAGTCTGTCCACGTACTTTGCCCAGTAAACAAAAGAGTGTCTGTTTGTCTGTTTGTCCGTCTGTACGAGTTTTACTAAATCTAAATTCTGTGAGTCAAACCAGGCCAAAATTGACAAATTCAAACATTTTTCAGCGAAAAATGAAAAGCTGCCTCAAATGGTCCTTATGATTCATTTTCTTTTTGGTCACAGTAGGAAAATCAAACAAAAATTGACGTAAAAGTTTCTATAAATCTAAGAAGTTTGAATGCTGGATAAGTTCAAAAAATCAAACTGATCAGTGATCTTGTGGAGAAAACGCCATTTTTTTCTGCCTTTGCTCTGACTTGTGACTTCTCTTTTCATTTGTTTTTGATAAGAAATTGCGTGGAGAAATTTGGGAAGATTGATCACCCTTTGATTGTTTACTAATATAAAATATTGACTCGAAAAACTATAATATTGTTTATTGGATTTGAAATGAAATAGTTTGTGTGAATAAGTGAGAAAAAGAAAGCTGCATCTTTGCTTGTTTGAGTTTCTTTTTCAATAAATACTTTTGATCTAAAAATGCGGAGAACGGACAGAAATCTAAATTCTTAAATTTCAAAGTAAATTATCATAAAACCTGAAAGAGCTGAAAAACCCTTTTATGCTCGATTATGCTTTCCTTCTTCTTAAAAAATTCTTCTCGTATTTCAAAAAGAATCGCTTTGAGGGGAATTTGAAGTGTTTGCTATCTAAGAAGACTGAGTATTCAAAAAAAAAACTGAAAGAAAGACAAATTCCCAATAAATTATTCAAAATACAACTCAATGCAAATAAACTGCCATCTCCCTTTTCAATTAACTCTTGTTTTCACAACAATTTTCGACGTCACAAATCAACAAGACACCACTTTGAACTGGACAGAAATTGTTGGAAACGGTCAGTGAAAAACTAACGCCAACTGAAGCAAGAAACAAGTAAATTTGGTATTGACCTTCTACGGAGATCACTATTAGAGCTATAATTGGATTAATGCACATGCTTTATCCGACGCTTATAAGCATGTACATCTTAACGGCAAATTTACGTACCTTGCTGAAACTTTTAGAGATATTAAAACCGCAATAATCTTAAATTCAGAAAAATCAGAGAAAAAATATCTTTTTGAATTCAAATCTTTGTGCTAAATGTTCCAATTGCTTTGAAAATTTGTCATATAATGAGCAAGTAATGACTAAATATTCTCTAAAAATTTGCGCTCAATTGGTAAGATGGCTGATGAGTTACGCCTTATATAGTGACTGCATGTGCTGCATGTGCACTAACCCAATATTAGAGGGGTCATTATTTTTTGATAGTACCTTTTGCCATTTACATGACCAAAACTGGAAAATACAAGGTATTCATTAAAGAAACACTTTTCAATTAACTTATTTACGAAATCAAGTAAAATCCAACAAAAATTAACAAAAAAAAACTAGAAATTTAAAAATTAAGATCAACTGATATATCAGATCCAAATTCTTCCTCACATATTTCTGTTTCTTGACGAAAATCGAGAAGATTTGCTGAAATAAGCGGATCCAGGAGCTCATCGGCTTCTTTTTCGATACGTGCATCCTTGAGCAACTGTCGTCCTGTAGGAATCGGGCCATCGGGCTTAAAACAGTGAATCAGCTGTTCGTCGGCACCATTTGGATTGATTCCAACACTACAGCAAAAATGATTGTTAGCTACTAGTTCATTAGTTTTAACAATTTTTGATTTAATACTTTTAAATTGTAAAGAAAAAGTGGGAAAGGTGGAATGATTTCGAGCAAGCGACTTCAAGAGCACGAGTAAAAGACGTCTTTTAGTAAAAGCAAACGTAGTAAAAGCGTTTCTTAGCAAAAAAACAAGAAGCAATTTGTTAAACGCTACACTTACAGTGAATGAATCACTCCTTCGGACTGAATATTTTGCTATTTCAAGGAAAGGTACAAAATATTCAGCTAAAAGCAGATGCAAATTTGGGGAGGCTCAAAGGTTACTATTAGAGGGGGTCATTATTTTTCCTTGGCCCTCTAGGGGCGGGGGGGGGGACTACTATTGGAGAGGGACTACTATTGAAGGGGACTATTATCGGAGAGGGACTACTATTGAAGGGGACTATTATCGGAGAGGAACTACTATTGGAGGGGACTACTATTGGAGGGGCTACTATTGAAGGGGGCTACTATTGGAGAGGGACTACTATTACAGCTTTTATGGTAAGTACTTAAAGTTCCTTTCAGAAAAGCTTGGTGTCTTTTATGAGAACACTCAACGATTGTACTTGGAGCTTTTCGAGAGAAGAGCCTATAAACGAGAGCTTTCACCAATCTACTCTCTTCAACCACAAAATCTAACAGGTTTGTGTTTAAATTAGAAATTTGTGAATTCAAAAATACTAATCTTTAGCTCAAGAGGTTCCACGCTTCAACGTGAACATCACTTTAGCATATGTTAAAGTGATTGAACTGGTGAGCAGAGATTCATGCCTAATTTTATCAAGTAGAGAACTTTCAGGCCGCACAGAGTCAAGAAATCGATCAACTTTTCGAGTTTGGCTTTGTGAGTTTGAAAAAAGCGAAAGTTGAAACAATATCACCTCAGATAGACCATTTGTTCTCAAGACTTTAAACTTTTAAATCGTTAACGGATTAACAGATCTCAGATTAACATAAAACTTTAAAATAATCGATTTGTGACAAAATTCAAGTCTTAGGAATGGACAGATCCACGTCTTCAATGGAATCCCGACGATTTTGGTGGTGTGAGCAAAATTTGGCTTCAAATGGACTCGATTTGGTTGCCCGAGAATAGCATCAGCAATGCGTAAGAGTTACCTTTTCCATAGAATCATTGAGCTAATCTCGTAGACGTTGTTTCAATAAGCATCTCGTAGACGATATTTCAATAATTAAAGTAAAGTTTATAGGAAAGCGATCGAAGAAGTGGTACCTATTTACCAAAAGCAGATCGAGTTAGGGTACGATGGGAGTCTTTACATGGATCGGACACTCTATGTCAGCCTTTCCTGTTCAATGAATGTAATGTTTTGATTTTGCATTTATTTGAGCTCTTTTATTGGTTATCAAACTAATCTCTCACTCAACTTTCATTTTCAGTTGGGCCATTTCCCTTTTGATACGCAAACATGTCAAGTTGGCTTTGATGTTTACAATTACGACATTTCTCTGGCAACGATCGATGTGATGATCTACGATGATTTTGATCAAAAGATTCTCAAGGTTTAGAGTAATGTCCAGAGTAATGTCCAGAGTAATGTTTAGAGTAATGTTTAGAGTTAAAAATTTAGCAAGCTTATTCACCGATTCAAATTAGTGCAAAAGGAAAAGCACAAATTCAATTGAATAACTTATAATTCCTATAACTTACATTTCCAATAACTTACAATACATTTAAGTTATTCAGTTAATTTGTTTCTTCTATGCGTTAACTTTGTAATATTTAGGGAAACGGTGAGTGGACGATTCTGAATATCTCTGCTGGGAAGATGATCACCAACTACTCGGATTTCGCTTTTGATTATGTAAAGTCATTTATCTATCTTTAAAAAAAACTCTTTTCAGGCTTTTTACACGTTTGTTTATAAACGAATCCCTAATTTCTACATTTGGGTGATCGCAGTGCCAGCATTTTTACTAACTTTCCTTTCAATTATTGGACTTTTTTGGGTTTCAACGAGTGTCGATGAGAAATTGCTGAAAGTAAGTTAACTGGATACTCTAAATTCGGAAAACTTTTGAACAATCGTATTTTTATTTCAGCTTTCTCTCGGTTTAACAACAATGATGTCGATGAGTGTTCTTCTCGAATTGGTCTCCAATCAAATTCCGAAAACGTCCAGCTTTCCGGTGATAGGTAGGAACTAGCTTATCGATATTGTCGATACAAACGCCATGTTCGTGTTTGACCGTTCAGATGTGTGAGATAGCAATCAAAAGCTGACATTCTTGGCTTTCCAATGAAACAATTTGCAGATTGATAGCTGTTCTAGAGGCCGAGATCTGAACGGTCAAACATGAGCTTGCTGTTTGTATCGATAATATCGATAAGCAAGTCTAGTAGGAACTACAATTGGCCGTCGTTTTGAACCAAAGATTTTTTTTTGAAATTGATTAGCTAGATTAAAAGTCAGCTGTCAAGAAACTCTACGGTTTTTCACACACCGATTAACATATCTATTCAAATCTAGTTTTTCTATTGGGCTGGTGCATTGAAAACTGCGGGAGTTTGAACTAAAATTTATTCAACATAAAACCATAAATTCATTCGAAATAATTTCCATTATTATTGACGATTTCTGCCCATTTTACAGGCAATTTGCGGATTCCTCTTTCGTAGTAGGATTTTGGTTTGTGTGTGAGACAAGTGTGAGACTCAAAAATGGAGGACTGGAGATGTCCCAGTTTGAGCACTTTCTTCAAAAGAAACCCATTTTGGTGTCAATAGAAAAGTTGTAGAGAATCAAAAATTAAGCTTATAGCCAAATTTCCAAAAAGATACACTTAGTAGTTTCGCTTAAAATGCAAGTATTGTGGAAATCGGTAAATTTGGCATTTCTTGAAAACCAGTTTTTGAATCGTTCTGAAAATTTGGATATAAGCTTAATTTTTGATTCCCTACAACTTTTCCATTGACACCAAAATGGGTTTCTTTTGAAGAAAGTGCTCAAACTGTGACATATGACAATAGCCGGCAGTTTTCAATTCACCAATCCATTATAAAACATTTTTGATCTTCTAACATATTGACACCTCATAGCGTCATTTATGTGTTATTTTAAACGTTTCCTTTGATCTAGAATTGAGTGAAATATACTAAAATTATGGTTCGGAAGCCAAGGAATTTTTAAATGTTGGAGTAACTTGAAAGCAGATAAGATATAGACACTGCTTCCATCGTTTTATTCTGTTATTTGGCTGATTTCAAGGGATCTACGTGATAATCGACGTGTTCGTAATCGGCGCTGGCTGTGTGATGGTTGTCATTTTGCCGAGAAGTCGAATGGCCACAAAAGCGAAAGAAAGGTGAAGAAAATTTTGAGTTAAGGTGAATCGCTGTTACTTACTACTAATTACAGAGGTATCCAATCGGAGATGAGACGCCTATTCACCTCAAAAACAATCATACTTCAAATCGTTTTTCAGTTGCTCAATTTGATCAATTTCATTGTACTGTTATCGTTTTGGTAATAGTTGCTGTATTCTCTCTGATAGTACTCTGGCGTACTATTAGATTGGAAAGAAAGAAATAAAGACCAAGTAAATACAGGGTGCGGCAAAAGTTCTGACACTTTTTCTGTAAGCAGTAATTTTTTGGCTTCAAAAACCCGTGAATTTCAAAAAAACTAACGCCGGATTCTAAAAATTTAGGTAGTTTCACCCCAATATAGCCATTTTCATAAAAAGATTTCAACTCTCAATAACTTTTTGACGAGAATTTTTTATATCCCGGTCTGGTCGCTGAAGATTTTTGCGAAAGTTGACTTAAACTTTGCAGAATAAAATTTTTTCCAAAAACTGCTGTTACCATTTGATAGAACTGAGTTTTTTCTTGAAAACAAACCACAAAAAAACTTTATATCTCAAAAACGAAAGATTTTCAAGCGATTCTACGAAGGGCACCTAAATCTCAACAGCAAAAAAAACTGCTGTAACGACCTTTAAACATCCTCATCAAAAGGTTGTTTAGATGGCAATTTTTTGTGTAAAAAAGTATATTAGGCGGTAAAAATATCTAAATTTTTATAATCCGGTGTTAGTTTTTCAAAAATCGCGTTTTTTCCAAGTCAAACTGCCCGTTTACAAAAAGTGTCGGAACTTTTGCCGCACCCTGTAAACAACCACCAGCAACTAAATAAACAACCAATAATCTCTATTTTTGGCTAAAAATTTGTTACAGAGAAGCTATATTTCAAAAAAATTATTTTTTGGTGTCATCTTCTTGGCACAAAGTGTTTGCTAAAATAGGTGATTCTAAAAAGTTAAAGCATTAGATAAAATTAGCCTTAATCACAAATTTTCCCTATTTTAAGTACTTTATTTTAGGCTTTGAATGGGATTCATTGTCTATTCATTAACTCATTAAAAACTCGTCTAAAGCCTGGTCACTCAAAAAGTGAGCAAGCTGAAGCTGAAGAAATCTCTTATTGTTTTACGCCCACTCTGATTTGTTGTCAGAAACTTTTTGAAATATAGTCAAATTTATGGATTACTATTAGAATTTCATCAGTTTACTAGAAAAAAAAACATTCTAGAAGAAAAGATGTGGGTTTTTCAGAAAAGAACCCAGAAAACAGTACAGAGTATTCAAAAATTCAGTGATTTGGATGCTACAGCGTGACCCATAATTACCATTGAACATTACCATTGAACATCACCATTGAACATGAGCACCATTGAAGAGCATTTACATTTGATTGAAAAGCGAAACAGATGCGGAAAATGGGTCCCACATGAACTGACCCTCAATCACAAAATTGCCCGTATGAACACTTGTTCAAATCAATTGTTACTTCTGATGAAACGTGGATGTTATATGATAATGTTAAGTGCAAACACCAATGGCTATCACCAAAGCAAGCACGTCAAAGCCTGGTCTGCATGGAAAGAAGTTGATGTTGAACTTTTTGACATATTGCTACTACTTCTTTTGGTACTTATGGGTTTACCCACCACACATTTAAGCACATGGTGGAAAAATATGCGGTGGCTATAACCCATTACCCTTCTTTTATTGATTTACAAGCATTTTCTTATTCTTTTCAACGTTTGATTTTTTTAGAAATGGAACTCGACGGCGATTCCGACAAACAATTGCAAAAATTTCGTACAAAGCAAGAACACTATCAATTCGAAAAGGATGCTCGAGATTGGAACACTCAATACAAAGAGGATTTTCTCGTGCCTGAAGATGAAATAAACTTGGATGCAAATGAAACCGACATTGCTGACAACATATCGGCCACTGGCGAAGAGAAGCCTGATGAGGAACCTTCTCGAAGTTATTGAAGATCATAAACACTTCTCGAAAACGCAAAGTGACCCATCCGAGATGGAGTCGAAGAAAAAGCGCTGTTTTGACGTCAAGACCAAGCCTATGGTTGTCGCTTTTGCGGACAAGATGGACAAATCAGCCGCCGCTAGAAGGTCCGGTGTTCATCGCCAAAATGTTCTCCAGTGGTGTAAGCAAAAGGACGATCTTGTGAAACAAAAAAGAATAAACGATTGAAGCGCCTTGAAGGTGGTGGTCGGAAATTGAAGGACGGAGCTTCCGAAAACGAGCTTGCCAATTGGATTCGAGAAAAGCGATTAAAGAATTTGCGATTGACTCGCAAAATGATCCAAAGCCAAGCAAAGCAATGATCCCGCAAATATGGCAATGTTGGAGCAAAAAATTCAATTGTGATAACTCAACAATGACGTATGTCGGTTTACCATCTTCAATAACTTTGCTTGAACCCATCTCGAATCAAAAGTCCAAAGAAGAAATGTTTCTAATTTTCTGCGAGGGAAGTGGCTTTCCACTTTTCCGTTGACACGTTCAAAAATCTAAATTCTTAAATTTCAAAGTAAATTATCATAAAACCTGAAAGAGCTGAAAAACCCTTTTATGCTCGATTATGCTTTCCTTCTTCTTAAAAAATCCTTCTCGTATTTCAAAAAGAATCGCTTTGAGGGGAATTTGAAGTGTTTGCTATCTAGGAACACTAAGTATTCAAGGAAAAACTGAAAGAAAGAAAAATTCCAATAAATTATTCAGAATTCAACTTAATGCAAATAAACTGCCATCTCTCTTTTCAATTAACTCTTGTTTTCACAACAATTTTCGACGTCACAAATCAACAAGACACCACTTTGAACTGGACAGAAATTGTTGGAAACGGTCAGTGAAAAACTAACTCCAACTGAAGCAAGAAACAAGTAAATTTGGTACTGACCTTCTACGGAGATCACTATTAAAGCTACTATTGGATTAATGCACATGCTTTATCCGACGCTTATAAGCGTGCATATCTCAACGGCAAATTTGCGTATCTTGCTGAAACTTTTAGAGATATTAAAACCGCAATCATCTTTTAAATTCAGAAAAATCAGAGAAAAAATATTTTTTTGAGTTCAAATCTTTGTCCTAAATGTTCCAATTGCTTTGAAAATTTGTCATATAATGAGCAAGTAATGACTAAATATTCTCTAAAAATTTGCGCTCAATTGGTAAGATGGCTGATGAGTTACGCCTTATATAGTGAATAAGTCGGTCACTGCATGTGCACTAACCCAATATTAGAGGGGTCATTATTTTTTGATAGTATCTTTTGCCATTTACATGACCAAAACTGGAAAATACAAGATATTCATTAAAGAAACACTTTTCAATTATTTGCGAAATCAAGTAACGAAAATTCACCCGGTGCAAAACCATACGCCACTCCCCAAATTTTGGTGTCGTTGTTGCTTTTTATTCAATTTTTAACAAGGTTTAATTATAACAATAACAGTTTAATGTTTTGTTGTCTGTCCCTGACGACTGATCACGTCAAATATTTGACTCAACATGCTGGCAACTAGCTTCTTGATGGTGCTTCTTGGTATGGCATTCCACTCGCGGGCCATGGCATCTTTGAGCGCTTGAACATTTGCGTATTGTGTGGAATTGCCATAAACTCGACGAGCAAGCATTCCCCACAGATTCACAATGGGTTTGAGATCGGGGGAGCACACAGGCCAATCCAGAAAAGGCACTTGTTTTGACTGAAGCCATGACTTGGATGCTGGCGTTGTCTTGCTGTAGCGTGAGTTGGTGTTGTGGAAGACTTTGCAGATATGAAAGAAGGTTGGCCTCGAGCACATCGATGTAATCTTGTGAGTTCATCTTGGATGTGACAAAGACGATTTCCAGTTTTACATGAGATGAGAAGGCGCCCCAACACATCACCGAACCTCCGCCGAAGTTTCGCTTTGAGAACAGTAATGGACCCTTGCGCAAGTCACGCCAATAAGAGTGTCCACCATCAGGCCCATCCAGGTTGAACTTTTTCTCGTCTGTGTAGATGATCTGAAACCAATAAAATTTGTTTGCGTGGCGTCTCTTGGGGGGTGGCGTCTCTTGGGGGGTGGCGTCTCTTGGGGGGTGGCGTCTCTTGGGGGGTGGCGTCTCTTGGGGGGTGGCGTCTCTTGGGGGGTGGCGTCTCTTGGGGGGTGGCGTCTCTTGGGGGGTGGCGTCTCTTGGGGGGTGGCGTCTCTTGGGGGGTGGCGTCTCTTGGGGGGTGGCGTCTCTTGGGGGGTGGCGTCTGGGTTTACACCGGGTGATTTTCGTTCTTTGGCCGTTATATTTTCCCTATTCATGCTATGTTGACGATTTTTGGGGTTTAAGAGCTATTTTTGCTCCTGAATCTAACTACGTTTTGATTTTTTTGTCACTGGCACTGGAGCCGCCGAAAATTTAATTTAGCGGGCGTATAGTTTTGCACCACACTGTATTACATCTTTTATGGTAAGTACTTAAAGTTCCTTTTAGAAAAGCTTGGTGTCTTTTATGAGAACACTCAACGATTGTACTTTGAGCTTTTCGAGAGAAGAGCCTATAAACGAGAGCTTTCACCAATCTACTCTCTTCAACCATACAATCTAACAGGTTTGTGTTTAAATTAGAAATTTGTGTATTCAAAAATACTAATTTTTAGCTCAAGAGGTTCCACGCTTCAACGTGAACATCACTTTAGCATATGTTAAAGTGATTGAACTGGTGAGCAGAGATTGATGCATAATTTTATCAAGTAGAGAACTTTCAGGCCGCACAGAGTCAAGAAGTCGATCAACTTTTCGAGTTTGGCTTTGTGAGTTTGAAAAAAGCGAAAGTTTAAACAATATGACCTCAGATCGACCATTTGTTCTCAAGACTTTAAAACTTTGAATCGTTAACCAATCAACAGACCTCAGATTAACACAAAACTTTAAAATAATCGATTTGTGAGAAAACTCAAGTCTTAGGAATGGACAGATCCACGTCTTCAATGGAATCCCGACGATTTTGGTGGTGTGAGCAAAATTTGGCTTCAAATGGACTCGATTTGGTTGCCCGAGAATAGCATCTGCAATGCGTGAGAGTTGTCTTTTCCATAGAATCATTGAGCTAATCTCATAGACGATGTTTTATTCAATAAGCCTCAATTATTCAGAAGTTTATAGGAAATCGATCGAAGAAGTGGTACCTATTTACCAAAAGCAGATCGAGTTGAGGTACGATGGGAGTCTTTACATGGATCGGACACTCTATGTCAGCCTTTCCTGTTCAATGAATGTAATGTTTTGATTTTGCATTTATTTGAACTCTTTTATTGGTTATCAAACTAACCTCTCACTCAACTTTCATTTTCAGTTGGGCCATTTCCCTTTTGATACTCAAACATGTCAAGTTGGTTTTGTTGTTTACAATTACGACATTTCTCTGGCAACAATGGATGTGATGATCTACAATGATCTCGACTCTCAGGTTTAGAGAGTAATGTTCGGAGTAATGTTTAGAGTTAAAAGTTTAGCAGACTTATTCACCGATTCAAATTAGTGCAAAAGGAAAGGCACAAACTCAATTGAATAACTTACAATTCCAATAACTTACAATACATTTGAGTTATCCAGTTGATTTGTTTCTTTTATGCGTTGACTTTGTAATATTTAGGGAAACGCTGAGTGGACGATTCTGAATATCTCGGCTGGGAAGAGGATCATCACCTACTCGGATTTCGCTTTTGAATATGTAAACCATTTATCTATCTTTAAAAAAAAACTCTTTTCAGGCTTTTTACACGTTTGTTTATAAACGAATCCCTAATTTCTACATTTGGGTGATCGCAGTGCCAGCATTTTTACTAACTTTCCTTTCAATTATTGGACTTTTTTGGGTTTCAACGAGTGTCGATGAGAAATTGCTGAAAGTAAGCGAACTGGATACTCTAGATTCGGAAAACTTTAGAATAATCGTATTTTTATTTCAGCTTTCTCTCGGTTTAACAACAATGATGTCGATGAGTGTTCTTCTCGAATTAGTCTCCAATCAAATTCCGAAAACGTCCAGCTTTCCAGTGATAGGTAGGAACTAGCTTATCGATATTATTGATACAAAACGTCATGCCCATGTTTGACCGTTCAGATGTGTGAGATAGCAATCAAAACCTGACACTCTTCAAAAAATGAAAAATGAGTAAAATGAAAGCTGATAAGATATAGACATTAACTCGGTCGTTTCATTCTGTTATTTGGCTGATTTCAAGGGATCTACGTGATAACCGACGTGTTCGTAATCGGCGCTGGCTGTGTGATGGTTGTCATTTTGCCGAGAAGTCGAATGGCCACAAAAGTGAAAGAAAGGTGAAGAAAATTTTGAGTTAAGGTGAATCGCTGTTACTTACTACTAATTACAGAGGTATCCAATCGGAGATGAGACGCCTATTCACCTCAAAAACAATCATACTTCAAATCGTTTTTCAGTTGCTCAATTTGATCAATTTCATTGTACTGTTATCGTTTTGGTAATAGTTACTGTATTCTCACTGATAGTACTCTGGGTTGTTATCAACTTTGTTAACAACTTTGTTATCAACTAACCAATAAACATCACTTTTTCATGCGACAACCATTTGCATGTAAACTTTTCGACATTTCTTGAATCACTACCTTTTTTCAATTTCAATGAAAATTTTTGATTCAAAACAAAAATTGAAAAGGTTGTCAAAGTTTTACAAAAAGAACTGGCTCATATGATTTTTCAATAAGTTTAAAATAAGTTTCATTTTAAAAGAAAGATCATCAACAGAAACTTTCGATTCCTTTCAATTCTTTTCAATTCCTTTCAATTCATTCAACTGATGACATCAACTTTCATTGAGATACTGAAAACGATTCAAATGGAGTCGATTTCAAATGAAAATTTCAAAAAGAATTGTTGCCAATTGTTAATCTGCTCTTATAAATACTGTGAAAGTTGCATGAAGAAAATCAAGTTTTTTTAATTGCTTATCTTTTGCGTTAGAAAATTTTTCAGAATGAAAACTTTGCTTCTACTGACCACTGTGGCCACACTTGGCCTCTCGGAAGTATTCGTTCAGGAATTAACATGGCACGAGAGCCCGAAGATCAAAATGATGAAAGCTAGAACTTATCAAAAGTACAGGTATTATACTAGTTTTATTGTTTTTCTTTTGATCATAGTTTAGCCAGAAAAAACAACAGATACGTGCTCAGTACTTTTCTATGAAAAGTGACAATCGAATTGTCGACAGAGTAAGTTCAAGAATTTGAATATGATATGTGGGCAAGGAAAAGAAATCGTTTGTTTAAAAGTTGCTGATTGTTGAACTCAAATCACAGCTGAGGCTGATTCCAAGTGAAAAATTTTGTTTTCCCCAATAACTATCAATTTGTTTTTATGTATTTGATGCTTTGTATACCAAAAATGGCAGAAACGAATCGGTTGATTTCCACATTTAAAAAAGTATTCGCTGTTTTTCATAGATGTCCGATCCGCGATCTTGCCGCTGGCTTGCCACGGGCTTGCAGGTGTGTGGTGGAATCGCTAAAATCTTGGTGCTAAAAAGCCCCCAAAATTGGTGGCTAAGTAGAATCGACTCTGGGGAACAACATATTAAAAACTCAGCTCCAACGCTCCAAGATTACGGTAGTTATAGTGTTTTAATATTTGGTAAGATTTAGGCGATAACGGGGTTTCTCTCTCCGCAATGATATTGGAGCTAGTTAACAAAATGGAACCATCGCACGTTGCTATGGTGGTAGTGCGATTCAGATTGATCTTCGTTCATAAAAAAATCGAAAGCAGACTGAAAAAAAACTACGGAATGAACGCATTTTAACAATATATTAGGTAAATGTATAAGAAATGCGGATTTCAACATTTTCATAAATTTCCAACGATAGAATGATATCGATAATTTGATATCGATAACTTGATAGCGCTGAATGTTATAAACTATTTGAAAGTTGTAAATTTCCTCTACAATCTCCTCTAAATAGGCTAAAACGTGTTTCAATTGATCGACGCATTGAAGAAATTTCGAGGGCGAAATGCGAGTGACCAAAAAAGGGTACTTTTTGAAAACCCCACTGTAGATGGTTTAGATATAATCTTTATTACAGCAATAATAGTTGGTTCAGTGGTTTGAGATTGGGAGAGTAGAGACAACTCCACGGCACCTCGGCAGCTCGTTCACATTGCTTTTATACAGAACTTTGGCGTTGGTCTCGTCTTGCACACAATGGAGTTGAACGGCTAGCGACGCCTATTAAATCTCGCACAATAGGCGTTCGTCCACATAGGTGTCTAGCTGGCTTTTCCGTGGCTTTTCCATGTCTAGCTTCCATCCGTGGTGATCTCGATCACGAGACCGTCCCGACACCCACTTTCACAAGGGTTCGGTTTTGACTATATGGTGACTAAAATGAGCGCCCTAAAATATCGTTCAAAATTAATTAAGAATAATTAGGAGTTGGGATCGTTTCATGGGAAAACTTTGTTTTTACAATAATTTTTCTTTTTTTTGTGAAAAAGCCGGTTTTTTTTTTGACAATTTTAAGGGTTTTGAACTTACGCTCTATCTAAATTTCTGTAAATGCATTTCCGTTAGACTTTTTTAATGAATTGATATATAGTTATCCTTTTTTTTTAAATCTTCAATTTTGGGAAGCTAACTCTATTTTGACCACACTAAACTTGTCCCTAAAGTGACTCGATTCCTTTTTTGGTCACTCGCATTTCGCGCTCGAAATTTCTTCAATGGTTGGATCAATTGAAACACGTTTTAGCCTATTTTGTAGAGGAGATTTACAACTTTCAAATA